GGAACATTTAAAGTAATCACGCAATAGATTTGTACCTTAGAGTAGGAAGGGCGTTAGAAAATTGACAGTGAAATTCAGAAGCATATCAAAGTACACAGTTTAATGCACCTAAAATAACATAGCCCAGTGTTACAGACCACCTTAAGTGGCGTGTACTTTTTTTTTTGTGAAACGGGCAAAACAATTAACCAAACTTGTATTTTTTCCGATGATATTCAAGGCAAATAGTTAGAGCAGCTAGATTTTTAGTTTGTAAACCGACACAGTCATCTATAGCCTTACCAGATAAGGCAAGTGTCTTGCTTGGCCACCATTAGCATAAATAACAACACATATTTATGGTACTGTGTGCTACTTAATCCTCTGCTTGTACAGACGTCTGCTGCATGCGTTCCCTCTAGCAAGTTTATACTCCGTGTGTATACATAAGTGTGTATGTGCATGTTCCTACATGTGTGTATCATATACATGTATTGGACTGATGGAGAAGTTGGACCATCTGGAGTTAACAGTCAGTCGCAGTATGATGTACAGGTATGGGTCTTCCTTTCAGGAGAAATAAAATGGCTAAACATCAATACACAAATACACATTGCAGTGTGCTGACACAAATGCTCTGGTTCAGTCCTCTCAGAGCTTCACAGAATACGTTCTGCATTGAACAGATCCAGTTCGTGCTTTCTGAGGTTGTCCTTCACAGCCATTTAGCAGCTGGAAGCTTTTACTTTTACTATTTTGTTTCGAAACAGCTGAAGAACAAGAAAGTAGCCTTAAAGTAATATTTGCATGGCGTACCAGCACAGGCTAGCAGTTTCAGCTGCTGCTTTTCAAAACTGCAACTATTAAGTTGATCTTAATCCTTTGGGCTCAAGTAAGTTTCTTCATGGATTAAAAAGCTGGCTTGGTATCTACTCAGATGCTCTTAATGCTTTTCTGATGGCAAGCAGCAGTTGTCTTTCCTTCTTGGCTGTTCCACTTGCAGTGCTGGTTTCTGTAGACTTTCCTGGGTTGAGCTGACGTTTTGATTTTACAGCAAGTTTGCTTAACGGCAGGTAATTTGCTTTTTTTGGTTTTGTTTTTTTAAAAAAAAAAACAGAAACTAGTGAATGCCCTTATCCTGTTACTACTTCCGACACAGAGATTTGTGATTTTCCTGTCAAGGTCCCAGGGGAGTTGCTGGGGATAAATAAAATAGCACAGCTAACCCTTAGCAGACTTGGTGTGAGTTGTTCTGAGCCTCACGCTTTAAGCTCGGTTGCTGGTATTTGCTGTGCAGCACCAGGTTCTCCAGAAGGTGGAAAGAAAGAAGTGATCACTCTAGCTGGTGCTTCATCTCAAGCCAGCCCCCATTGCCATGAGCTTCTTCCTTGGGCTGTCTCCAGCTGTGTGAAACAGAAACTCAAGATTGACTCTGGTGTCAATCGCATCAAATTTTGTGTCCAGTTACTATGGCCTCTGTGATGAGACCTACATGGGAGCTTCATGGGCAAAGATTTGGATTTGTTTTGCTATAGCAGCATTCCCAGGTGCAACCTTTCTCTTCTTGCTTGTGAGGAAAAGAAAGCTACAGATGCAAGTTTTGTTCCTTGTATTACCGAGTCATGTTGGAGGTGGGGAAAAGATTGCTTGTAGCAGGGATTGGCAGCTAGAGGATACGCAGGGAGGAGGCACAGACATGCTCTGAGCCTGATGCCAGCTGGGTTACTGGAGCTGTTCTTGTTGGAGCAATCTGTGGAGCTCAGCTGGAGGCCTTTCCCAGAAGACTGAGTGGAGAGGTAGCTGTAAATCCTCTACGAATGTTCCTTCACTTGTCTCTGCCACTGCGCTAAGGAAGGCGGAGCGCAGCTCCCCAGTTGGAATACTGCCACCAGCAGCATCTGCATCCACATTGCCCCATAGCTTCAGCATCACAGAAGTCCTGCTTTGGTAAGGTTTTTGTTGTAAGTGTGATAGCCAGAACACAGTTTTAAATTGAAGTTTTAAAAATGCTGAGTCTGGTCTGACTGGTCAATGGTGAAACGCTGGCAAGTAGGATTTCACGGAGCTGTAAAAAATAGGTACTGCATGGATAGAAGGACTAGAAAGGAGGACATTCCACAGTAGACACATAGTAGGCAACCCTTACAGCATAGCTGAGGGCCAGTCTTCAGAAG